AATTGCTTACTGCAAACAACTACCGTAATATGTTCAACATTCCTATATTAATGAATGGCAATCCTCTTACTGAGTCCTCCTCTTTACGTCTTCTTGGATTATCGCTTACTACTGACCTTTCATGGAAACCATATATACAATCGATTGCTAAATTAGCTTCTGCTAAGGTTGCTTCTCTTTATCGTGCTCGCCATTTCCTTACTTCTGATTTCATTCTCTACCTCTACAAATCTCTTATTCGTCCCTGTATGGAATACTGTTGTCATATTTGGGCTGGTTCTTCTAACGATTCACTTTCTCTTCTTGACAAGGTCCAAAAACGCATTGTAAATGTTGTTAGACCTGGACTATCTGCTAAGCTTGAACCTCTTTCCCATCGTCGTAAAGTTGCATCTCTTTCTCTTTTCTACAAATACTATCATGGTCACTGCTTAAAGGAGTTATCATCTCTAGTTTCATCAACTAAAATTCATTCTCGTTTTACTCGTCATTCAGCTAAGTCTCATTCGTTTACTGTATATGTCCCTGCATGCTCTAAAAACTTTTATTCATCTAGTTTTTTTTCCCGCACTTTAATCCTTTGGAACTCTCTCCCATCTTCAAATTTTCCTGACTCATACAACCTTCAACTTTTCAAGTCTTCTGTCAACCGTTTCCTTGCTCTATAACTCTGTTCTTTTATTTTTCCTAGTAACTCCCAACTTAATAGTGGTTGCTTGCAGCCTTGTTGGGAGTGAATGCAAATAAAAAAAAAAAAAAATATATATATATATATATATATATATATATATATATATATATATATATATTTAACGATAGCAGGCTATAAGATATAATGTATGTACTTAAGCCCCCAGGAGCAGGTTATTTCAGTGTAATGTCAGAGATGTTTGGCATCTGAACACACATTCATAGTATGTATATATATATATATATATATATATATATATATATATATATATATATATATATATATATATATATATATATATATATATATATATATATATATATATATATATATATATATATGTGAAGGGTGCAAGGGGAAAATCAGTGATGTCACATTCTTTTCATTTTGAGAAAACAAAACAATATTTGAAGTTTAAAACAATAAAGACTTACAATGTTGTTTTGGTTCAATACATATCTTAGGTTTGTAAACTTTTGATCTACTACATGATAAATTAGTGTGAAAATATTTTTTAGGAATATAAATACATAAATACATTGAATCCTGAAATGAGGGTCCCTTTTGGACATCACTGCTTTTACTATTGGACATCACTGCTTTTCTTGATTTTGATTTAAAATCCAAAATAATGTTCAATATATTGCTTATAGTATATTCAAATACATTTTTTATAAGTTGAATAATAAATCTAATCTTTGACTTGGTTAATAAAAATAAAAAAAAATTTCAACTTGAAAAAAATAAGAAAAGTACATATGGGGTAAGTAAATTAATCAATTTAGAAATGAAATTTTTTTTGAGTTTTACATTTCTAAACTTAATAATACTTTATTATACAAATTTTGTAAAACAATATTAACCAAGAATTCAAATTAAATTTCCCTTTTTCCTTTAATCAATACCTGCTTTCTAATTTAAATACACTCAAGTTCAGAAAACTCTGATATAGATTCATCATCTCTTACCTGACCTTTGTGAGGCAGATCATTAAAAAAGTGTGAAGCATCAGACGTACAAAAATGTTTTAAAACTTGAAGGTCAGCATACTTTGCATAGTTGATCGGCAGTCTCTCATTGTACAAGCATGTAAGACGTTTTTGTGATAATTGCTTCTTTTTTCCAAAAGCTTTTGATATGATTACTCTTTCAAAAGATTCATTCCGACTGAGTCTGTAAGGTAACATAGTAGGGAGTTCTTGGAAGAAAATAATTTCACAAATTGGGCATGTTGGTACCAAACATTTAGCTTTCTAAAATGATTTGATATGTTCAGAAAAATTTAGGAATATGTTAAACTCCATCTTCATAACTTCAAATGGTGAAGGTTTCTTACGGCACGTACAAAATTCATCATTTGATGTTATAAGAGAATGAGTGGTCATTGAGAAATCTTTTTCTTCTATTTTTTATTATTTTTCATTTTCTAGGTTTTCTTCATTTAACACTTAAAACCTCAATCATTACAAAAACGATTGTTGATCTTTATTTGTTTTTATTGTTGATCTTTATTTATTTTTATTGTTGATCTTTATTTGTTTTTATTGTTGATCATTATTTGTTTTTATTGTTGATCTTTATTTGTTTTTATTGTTGATCTTTATTTGTTTTTATTTTTTATTTGATCTTTATTTTGCATTTTGTTAAAATACAAAAGTAAAAACTCCCTCTCTTCTATTGTCATATTCGAATTTCTGTAGTATCTGGATTTCCTCTCTTCTATTGTCATATTTGAATTTCTGCAGTATCTGGATTTTGACATTTATCTGCCATTTTTACCTTGATAAAGTTTTTTTTTGGTAAAATAAAATTTGATTGGGTGTTAGGCAAATAGTTGTAAAAAGCACTTCTATACAGCATAGAGATCTCCGATTTACCCTTTGAACAATTTTGAACATATCTGGTTTACACATTGTGATCCTTTTTACCACATGGAAATTTAGATATGATCTATTTGTTTTTTGTTTTTGTTTGATATCCATCTTTTTTAAAATGCACCAACTTACCTCAACATAGTAGAGATAATAACTCAAAAAGTGTTAATATGTGACATCACTGGTCCTTGGACCCTTCATGTGTGTGTGTATAAATAAATAAATATATATGCATATATATATATATATATATATATATATATATATATATATATATATATATATATATATATATATATATATATATATATATATATATATATATATATATATATATATATATATATAAATATATAAATTAAAAAAAAAAAAAAATGAAAATGTGATTCAGAGGTAAAGTCTGCGTTAAAGAAATCGATATTTCAATTAAGAAGATTTGAAAATGACAAATGAATAAAGATTTCATTGGAAAAAGCTTCCCACTATGTTAGCAATACTTATAATATTTCTTAAAATACTTGATTATGATTAGTTTTAACATGTTTAGATTTAATCATTTTCTAAATACAATAGATGCTTTGAACACAAGTATTTCTGCTGTAAAAAATGCTAGTTGAATTCTGATGATCTCAATCATAACTCAAGTTAAAGAATCTTTTAATCAACTTTTCATCAGTTTACTGGATAAACTAACATTATATCAAAATATTGAAGTTTTTTTTTCTTTTCCATATTTATTTATATACTTATTATAAAGTAATATTTATAAGATAAAAATAGAGAAATGAATCTGTTTAAATGAGCGAATGTTTGAATTAACCTATAAATGCATCAACAAAATAAAATCAATTTATAAATAACCAAAAAAATTTAACAAAATATTACAGTGAAATCTGTGTATATCTTCCCATACCAATCCATCCATTTTTTAAATTCCTTTTCCATTTCTACAGCATAGTATGCCGGTATATCAGCTTTCTCTACACCTAAACATTCTTTAAATTGGTTTGATGCTGCTGCTTGAAGAACAACTTGGCCAACACCTAAAAGAAATTAAAATTTACAAAGTATGTTTATTTCAAAATAACATCAACAAACAAAACTTAATTTTATAAGTTAATTTCTCATTCCTGGTATTCTTACCCACTGCATAAATAGTATTTAAAAAAGTAAAAGAACAAGAAGAAGCTCACCGCTTCCTAAATCAATAAATATATCATCAGGACTATGAGGAACATCATCAATTATTTGTGCTATCATATCAAATGATGTTTCACCGTATACCTAAAGAGCAAAACTTATGAACTTGTTTATTAACAGCATTATAGAATATTAAGTGTAATGCAAAAAAAAAGAAAAAAAGAAATTACTTCTGGCGAAAATGGCTCATAGCTGTTTAGTTTCTCAGGATCTTTGATGGCGTGGCTGTAACACAAATTAATAATATGACGAAGTAGTTCTTTATTGGGCGGTTTAAACATTCGTGGAGGTGGTGCACGTCCTTTCCACTGAAAAAATAAGATTATGCTTGTCTAAACTTGTTGTCTTTTAAAAGTATTACTTACTTGCACAACATATACAACAATATATCAAATGAACAACATGTAGAACAGCAACATCTTACATGAATAACATGTACAACAACTATAAACCTACAGGCTTGGACAGGAATGGCGTGTGATCACACACTGGTAACTGACCACTCTTGAAATTTTTTTTTTACAATTTGACCAGGCTATATTAATGTTTTAACAATATAAATGCAATAAAAAATCATTGCATTTAAATTGTTAAAACATTAAAAAGAATAATGATAATAAATAATAATATGAATAACTTTCAATCTTTGATCTTTTCTAAAGTTTTTGTTTTACACAAAGGTTTTAAATAATAAAAAATTTTGTGTAAATTAAATATTTACATTTTTTTAGTAGGTATATATTTTTATTATAAATTTAAACTTTAAAATACTTTTCCATGTCTTTTTAAAAATAATTCAATAGATTATTTTTTTTAGGTAACTTTAAATAACAAATAAATAAAAATCTTCCCGTTTCAATGAAATGATTTAATTGCATTATTTTTTTTTTTTGTTTCTATTTTTACTATGAATTGCTTAATTTCTTTTTATTTTAAACTTACTAATTTTAGACTTAATAATGAAATGATTAAAAATTACTATTTTAAAAGACTACGTTAATTTAAATAAAAATTTTTTTTGCAATTTTTTACAAAAAATATTTATACAATTTAAAAATATTATGTTTTTTTCTTTTCAATAATTTAATTTCACTTTTCAACAATTTAAATAAAATTTGTTCATTTATTAAACAATCAATAGAAGTAATTTGTAAAAGCGTCTTGTAGAACTTTAATAAAACGGTTCGAAAGATAAGTTTAAAAGATATTTATTTCAAATGCAATTAAAAATGTAATTAAAAGTAATATTCACTTTAAGTTTAAGTTTTTTAAGTTTCATTTTAAACCTTATATATTTTCTATTTTAATTTTTTAAAACTTTTTTCCTAGTTTTTAAAAATGCTCACTCTGTGTAGTTAAGGCAATTTTCAAATATTATAGCGTCTGTATGATATTTTGTTGACTATGATATTTTCGTTAAATGATCAGGTCAGTGAATTATGAAAAGACAAAAAAAATTAAAACAATAAATTTTGCGGTATCATAAAATATAAATTTTTGTAGCAAAAAAACCAGACAAAAGATTCTTTTTTCTTTTTTTTTAATTTGCTTAAAAATTATAATCACTTGTTCAAATTTAAAAAGATTTTAAATAAATACACTTTTTAGACAAAATAAAATTCATAGTTTAATAATATGATCTGTTCTGATTGTTTATTGTCAATTTTTCTTAATTATATGTTCTTTCTTGGTCGGAATTCTAGCATTTTTTGTGAAAATTGAAGAAATATTGTATTTTGACAACTATATATAGTTAATATACATCAGAACGGATTTGAACTAGGATCTATAGTGGGTTAAGGCACTTTTTCAAAAGTTTTTGAACTAAAACTAAATTCAATTTAATACCGATGAGTGAAAGTGATCTGAAGACTCCAAAATGGTGTTCTTTAGATTCATTTACAAGGGTAGTAAAAAGGTTTTGAAAATTATATATAAAAAAGAAAAGTTTCTTTATATATTAAAAAAGCCTGAAACAAAAAAAATTATAACATATAAAGCTCTTGTTTGGACATAATACACTGATAAAATCATGCTAATTCCAAATAAAAGAATTTGAATAATTTGTAAATCGCCGAGCAGCTGTTTTCTTTTTTCAGCACATTTTTGAAATGTTTAAATTTATCATAACATTTAAATAATTATGGTAAAAAAAAAATAATAATAATAATTTACGTGGTCAGCAATAGCATTTGATCGCACGCCATTCCTGTGCAAGCCTAAACCTAGTAAACTTTTTTAAACAAACTGTGTTGTATTTGAGATCAAACAAACTGTTACTATAAAGATTGTCTTTTATGCTTCATAAATATTAAACATAAAATTATATCAATGGCAATTATAACATTTTATTTTTAAAAATATTATTCTTTAAGTTATAGTCTATAAAACTAAATATTTTTAGTACTTATCAATTTCAAGACCATTTGAAAAAAGGCAGAGATTGTTAACTATTTTGAAAACATTTATCTAAACTCAATACTTTTTAATTCCTCTAACATCATTTTTAGTAAATAATTTGTAATGATAAAGACTAGGATTGCCAAGTCCCACCAATTATTTGGAACTTAGGATTTTTAAAAAATAATCAAAATTTATTTTTTATAGAGGAAAAAAAAACGAGACTCCAGATTCTCGTTTTTTTTTCTCTATAAAAAATAAATTTTAAAAAATAGTATCAATAGTTCCAAACCTTACTTTAAAATTTTCAATTAAAAACTTATGATTTTGGAGTTAAATCCAGTCTGTGTTGAATCATTAGTAAACATAAACACCGGAAAATATGTATATAAAAAAAATTAACAAAAACTTGTGACCAACACTGCAATTTCTAATAAGTGTTTCACCTGTGATAGTATTTTGTGCAAATTACAAAAAAAAAAAAAAAAAATTAAAAAAAATCAAAATTAAACAACTTTTTTTTTTTTTTTGCTAACAATCTATACCATATAGCATAGGTAATAAATATTTTATAGGATTTATTAGTTTTAAATTGTGTAAAAAGTGAAAAAAAAAAAAGAAATAAAATAGAGAGAATCAACTAAAAAATAAAAAAGTACAAATTTATACTAATGAATCAATTAAAAGTTATAATACTACAAACAAACTTTTGCCAGTGTAACACATGCAATACTAGTTTTTTTTATAAGATTTTGAGTTTGAAAACAATTTTAGAACAAAATACATATTTTTCGATTTATTATAAACAGTTTTTATAAATTTTTAAGTTTGACAAAACTTGTTTATCTATGCAGTCTTAAAGTACCATACACAAATTTTCTATACAACAGTCTTGTAGTACCACACACAAATTATTTTTTCTATGCAACAACCTTGTAGTACCACATACAAACTGTTTTTTCTATGCAACAACCTTGTAATACCACACAAATTGTTTTTCTATGCAACAGTCTTGTAGTACCACACAAAAATTGTTTTCTACGCAGCACTCTTGTAGTAACACACACACAACTTCTATGCAGCCACCTTGCTTGTGTTTTGATATTAAAAGAATGAATGAGGCTTGAAACATAAATTTGAAAACAAAAAGTTAAAAGAGAAGAGTAGACTAACTGCAATGGCTCCCACGGCCTTAGAGAAGTGAAAACAGTAAAAATAAAAAAAAGAAGACTAGTCTCTTCAACTGCTCCTGCGGCCTCAGGAAGGTGAAACAGTAAATAAATATGTCGTTTTAATATTCCTAATTCTGAAAATATATGACAAATATTTTTGCTTAAATGAGAAAATTTGAATATAAGTTGCTTTAAATGAGATATATTTCAGCATTATTATTACTTAATAGAATTCTTTTTATCTCTAAATCTCTATCTTTAGCTGCTTTTTTTTTTTTTTTTAAACCTTTTTTTTTTTAATCTTTGCTTCCAACAAGGCTGCAAGCAACCACTAATTGGTGTTAGAAGTTACTGGAAGAGAAAAGATGAAGATTGTAGACCAAGATAACGATTGACAGACAACTTAAAAGATTGCAAATTATATGAATCAGGAAAGCAAGATAAAGGAAGCGAATTCCAAAGAGCTGATATTCGCAGAAAAAAACTCGACGAATTAGAGTTTTTGGAGCACTTAGGAACATTAACAGAAAAAGGATGGGGCTTAATTGAATGACGAGTAACACAAGAATGAATTTTAGTAGATGGCACAAGAGACGCTAGCTCTTCAGAGCAGTGCCCATTATAGTATTTGTAGAAAAGAGATAGAGAAGCAACATTACGGCGATGTGACAAAGGTTGAAGGTTAACTGCTTGAATTGCAACGTGTCTGCAACTTTTATACATATGGTAGCAACTTTGCCAATAATATTCCTTTTTCTCTTCTTATATATAGATATAAATTGTTGTTACAACCCTAGCAACCAAAATACCTAAACATGAGCAACAAACAAGGTCAGGGCACAGAAAAACTTGTCACATTTTACATAGCTTAATGACACAGGTAATTAAGCTGTGTAAACTTCGTGTTTACATAGCAAGTACTCTATCATTACACTACTACAGCATTTTACTAAAGTTTAAAATATCATACATGATTCAAAAAATTTAGTGAGATAAACTAAAATAGATTGTATGTAAAAAGTATATGAAAGATTTTATTGCGCATTAGATGGAGGCGGTGAGGCTAGGGCTATTGCTCTCGACATATCTAAAGCTTTCGACAACGTTTAGCTTTCTGGTCTTCTCCATAAGCTTGCTTCATATGGTGTTTCTGGGAAAGTTATTGAGATTATCAAATCATTTCTTTCTAACAGGTTTATTAAAGTCATCTTTGAAGGCCAACACTCTTCTTTATTTCCAGTAACTTCTGGGGTTCAACATTCCTATATTAATGAATGGCAATCCTCTTACTGAGTCCTCCTCTTTACGTCTTCTTGGATTATTGCTTACTACTGACCTTTCATGGAAACAATATATACAATCGATTGCTAAATTAGCTTCTGCTAAGGTTGCTTCTCTTTATCGTGTTCGCTATTTCCTTACTTCTGATTCCATTCTCTACCTCTACAAATCTCTTATTCGTCCCTGTATGAAATACTGTTATCATATTTGGGCTGGTTCTTCTAACGACTCACTTTCTCTTCTTGACAAGGTCCAAAAACGCATTGTAAATGTTGTTAGACCTGGACTATCTGCTAAGCTTGAACCTCTTTCCCATCGTCGTAAAGTTGCATCTCTTTCTCTTTTCTACAGATACTATCATGGTCACTGCTCAAAGGAGTTATCATCTCTAGTTCCATCAACTAAAATTCATTCTCGTTTTACTTGTCATTCAGCTAAGTCTCATTTGTTTACTGTATCTGTCCCTGCATGCTCTAAAAACTTTTATTCATCTAGTTTTTTTCCCCGCACTTCAATCCTTTGGAACTCTCTCCCATCTTCATGTTTTCCTGACTCATACAACCTTCAACTTTTCAAGTCTTTTGTCAACTGTTTCCTTGCTCTATAACTCTGTTTTTTTTTCCTAGTAACTCCCAACTTAATAGTGGTTGCTTGCAGCCTTGTTGGGAGTGAATGCAAATAAATAAAAAAATAAATATTGAAAAAAAAAACAGTAATAATCATAGAAAAAGTGCTAAGTTCTTTTTCTATCTGTAAAAGCTACCTTACCTTAGGAGAACAGTGCTTAAGTAAAAGCTATGCAATAATTAGTAAATATATAAATAAATAAACAATTAAAATATATAGGGAAGAGTTGCCAAATTTGGAGCAGCACCTTAATTGGAACACTTGCATTTATTTTTGGAAAAAAATGAATTATGGCTATATTTTGCATTTTTTTAGTAAAACGCATTATTTTCTACGTTTTGACACATTTTAAAAGTTATTCCTCAAAAAATGAGTTTGCACCATTGATTTAAAGTTTTTTTGCGTCATATTTTTCAGCGATCTAATTTTGCGTTCACACTATATTAATTGCGCTGGGTAAACTATGGTGCTACAGGTTATACCATTTTTTGTGTTTAATTTGATGGGATTTAAAATGCAAAATAAAAATATAATTTTATCTTATAAGTTGCTGCAAGCATGTTATTGTAGTAATATAACAAAATAGTTGAAAGTTTCCTTGATCGGAATATTGAAGTTTTCCTTACCTAATCAGTAATAAAATCAAAGGGTTGTAATAGTAGTTCAAGTGCAATTAAAAAAATACTTAGTAACAACCATAAACTATGAAAATAATACTTTATGTAGTGATTTTTAATCAATAAATTTAGAGAACGTCATAACAGTTGAAGATTTAAACAATTTTTTTATTTGTAGACTATAAATTTATCAGGGTAATACTAATCCTATAATAAGTTTTGAATTAACTGTTTAAATTTTCACTGTAAAGATGAAAATCATTTTTTACAAATTTTTGTTAATTTTACTAGATTTTTTCGTTTAAAAAAATAACCTGTTCTGATAAACGAATCAAAGTGTTCCAATTTAGGAAACCAGTTGCCTTAATTGGAACAAAATGGTAACTTTGTAAAAACAAATTTATTTCCAATAACAGTACAATCAATGCTGAACAACATATTATTTTAAAAAATGACAATAAAAAAATAATATATCATGCAAGAAAATCTTTAATTTTTAATAACGACGAAGCTTGGATAAAGAAAAGAGGCGGATTATTTGATGTCACAATGGGAGCATTTGATGGAGCTGAAGTTTGTGAACTAGTTGGTATTTTTATGTTGTTTCAGCTCTCTCAACATTACGATAAAAATAATTTTGGCTTGTATTGTGACGACGGGCTAGCTATTTTTGAAAACAAAAGCAGCCAGCAAATGGAAAAAATCAAAAAGCATTTTACACATATTTTTAAAAGTAACAACCTACTTATCTCCATCCAATGTAATATTAAAATTGTCAATTTTCTTGATGTAACATTGAACCTGATTGACAGTTCTTATCAGGCGTATTGTAAACCTAATAACCAACTTATGTATGTTCATTCAGAGTCAAACCATCCACCTAATATAATAAAAGAAATCCCTCGCACTATTGAGTTAAGATTATCGAATATGGCAGTAAATGAAACTGTGTTCAATAATTCAATTATTCCGTATGAAGAGGCTTAACGTAAATCAGGATGCAATTCAAAACTCACCTACCAACCACAAATAAACAAAAATCAAAAAAGACATCGCAAACGTAAAATTATATGGTACAACCCCCCGTTTAGCAAAAATGTTGAAACTAAAATTGGAAATTGCTTTTTAGCTTTAATTGACCAACACTTTCCAGTAGGACACAGGCTTCATAAAATTTTTAATCGAAACTATATTAAAGTTAGCTATAGTTGCATGCCTAATGTCAAGTCTTTAATAAATACACATAATAACAAAATTTTACATAGCGATAAAAATAAAACATCAAAAAAGTGTAACTGCATAGACAAAAATATTTGTCCGTTAAATAACCAATGCCTTTTTAGCAATATCGTATATCAAGCCACTGTAAGTTCTGGTGATCCTCAATGCAAAGATAAAGTTTATTTCGGTATAAGTGAAAACACATTTAAATTAAGATATGCCAACCATCTTAAATCTTTCAATGCACCCAAATACAAAAATTACACTGAACTTTCCAAAAAAATATGGGAGCTAAAATCGAAACATATAAATCCTGTGATTACATGGAAGATAATAGCACAATGTAAGCCCTACAATCAAGCATCAAAAGTTTTTAATCTTTGTCTCCGCGAGAAGTTTCACATATTATCATATAAAGGAGAAAATTTACTTAATAAAAGATATGAAATAATATCAAAGTGCCGGCATTCAAAAAAATTTTTACTATCCTTATTTGATACCGGGGACTAAAACCTTTAACGTCTTTTTGTTTTGTTTTGTTTTGTTTTGTTTGGTAACGTCAGAACTTGTTCCAATGTAATTTTTAAACGGTATTTAAGTGACGAAATACACAATGGCTGATGATTGCCGAAAGGCATGAAACTCAGAGTTCCATCAAAAGTTGTTTTTATTCATTTAATATAAATAAATAAATATTGCTCTATTATTTAATAGTATTGAGCACTCTTAAACGCACAAGAGTATTTATTATTATTATACCGTAATAATACATTTTCTATTTTGTGTATATATATATATATATATATATATATATATATATATATATATATATATATATATATATTAATTGTTTATTTATTTATATATACATATTTTTTTATTTATATGTAGGGAAGAGTTGCCTTAATTAGAACACTAAAGGAATAAATATTTATTACCCAAAGATGGCTTAACTATGAAAACATTTATGATTTGATTAATACAAAGAGACATCCCTACTATACTTTTAAGCACAATTTGACTTAATTGATTGTACTGTTATTGGAAACAAATTTGTTTTTACAAAGTTACCATTTTGTTCCAATTAAGACAACTAGTTTCCTAAATTGGAACACTTTGATTCCTTTATCAGAACAGGTTATTTCTTAAATACTGTATTAGAAATACTTAGTAAATACTGTATAGGTTATTTTTGCTGCACACAGTGCAATATAATGCATATGTGTTATCACTGGCTAAATGTTATGCAACTGTTTTTCATTGGCTAAAATGGTATGCAACTGTTTTTCAATGGCTAAATGGTATTTGCCTGTTTCCCATTGGCTAATTGTACGCATCTGTTTTTGATTGACTAAATGGCAACTGTTGTCAAAACAAATCTAAAGAAATGAGAGTGTATTAACTAGTACTATCAAAA